CCACAATTAATGCAGTTTAGAAGCCAATGCAGTAAAATGCGCATTAAACGCACGTTATACGCGCATTGGCGCTCCTTGGGCACCTAGTACGGGCAGCTCGTGTTGCAGCCGAACACTGATCTGGTGATATTTGGTGCACTGCAGCCACGATTCGGTCTCTTAATTGCTCTCTTGAGGTGACTGGCAATGAATAAACTTCCTGCTTCAGGGCCCCCCACACAAAGAAGTCCACTGGTGTCAGATCAGGTGATCGGGGTGGTCAAGATACTACTCCTCCACGTCCAATCTATCTTCGTGGATAATGCCTATCTAGCCAAGCTCGAGTAGCTCTGCTATAATGAGCTGGACACCCATCGAGCTGGAACCACATCTCAATCCGTTGTTGCAGATGGATGTCTTCTAAATAATTACGAAAGTCTGTCCCCAAAAAATCTGTATATCTGGCTGCGTTTAATCTGTCGGGTAAAAAAAATGGTCCCACTAAAGATTCGACGTGGAGGAGTAGTATCTTGGCCACCCCGATCACCTGATCTGACACCAGTGGACTTCTTTGTGTGGGGGGCCCTGAAGCAGGAAGTTTATTCATTGCCAGTCACCTCAAGAGAGCAATTAAGAGACCGAGTCGTGGCTGAGTGCACCAAATATCACCAGATCAGTGTTTGGCTGTAACACGAGCTGTCCGTACTAGATGCAATGCTTGCATTGCAGCAAGAGGCCAACATTTTGAACAATATCTACATTAAGCAAGTGACAACATGAATAAATAAGTGTGAATGAATGAATAAATAGTAAATAAATACAAAAATTAAAACTACGTTTTCTTTTTTGCGATTTTTCCAAAACAAAGTAAAAACGAGCATATCTCCAAAGGACTTTTTATTTTTAATTTATCATCCCCTACACGCTCCCGAAGTTTGGACATTTAAATTCGGGACACCCTGTATACTATGTCTATGAGTTCGTTCAGTAACAGAACGAACTAAGGGTGAAATCATACAATACGAGAATCAGCGTGCGGGACACAGGATGCTGCGTGATTCATACAGGCAATCAGCGTTCTTCCGCATTTTTCTATCCCGCATATCTTCGTACTGTGCACACAGTGTGTGAAAGGCTCGAAAATAACGCGTTCCAGGAATATTTCATATTTTCTTGTAAAAAAAATATTTTCTAATATTTTTTAACATTTCTTTGTAAAAAAACACAATTTGAAAAAATTATTTCACCAAAACAGTAATATTTGTTAATTTTATTCAAGTATATTACTTAAAATGTTGACGTCCAAAAAACCATCAGTTATATCCACCGCTGGATTCGAAATAGGATTTTGTCGTTCATTTATAGCAGCGCACATTTCTCTGCGCCAAGCTCGCCACAAGAAAACTTTTAATTTTTAAAAATAAACTTTTAGAGCTGAAAATTTACTTTTGAAACTTTAATTTTATTTAGTTAAATTTTCCTAAGACCTGTTGGAAAATGGTAATGTATTTTACATTTTTGCATTGACAACTAATGTTGGCATATTTAAATGTAAACTGTAAGAGACGGCGATCACTTTACAATGTTGAATCCATGTCATGGATCAATTACACCCAACATACATAGCATTAGATTTACATTATTTCTGCTATATTGTGCTACTAGTTAGATGACACGTTACGCTTACACGTCTACCAGATACTTAATAGATTTTGCTCGGTTTTCTTACATGAATGTGGTATCAAATTACTTCCCTCAGATTTTGGTGTCAAAATTGCTGGTGCATTATATATAATATTTAATGCCAACTTGGCGACAAAGTGCTGGCTAATTCTTTATCGAGATTATATTTCATTTTTCTCAGAAAATACGATGTCCCATTACTACGTATACGTCCCATCAAATTCGAAGAATAGTATAGATATCAAAAGGGTAAATGTAGAAGAGGATCATGTTGACTTTATCCATCAATCACATATACGCAAAAGGCAAGGCAAAAGAGGATTTCAAGTTGAACAGCTTCAACTTCTAGAGTATCCGAAAATATATTCCAATACACTGAGAATCGAAAAACAGTAATAGTCCCTGAATTTTTGCTCATTCTCAACTTTTAATCTTAATACGCAAATGAGTGATGTGCAATTCCGTAACCATTACTGTTGACCACCAGCATTAAAATAATATGTAAATAATATGTAGCTTAACAGTAGGGTAAAAAAACATATATAAATAGTTAGCTCAGTGTTAGCGTACTAGGCTAGGGATCCGAAATCTTAGGTTCGAATCTCATATATAAAAAAATTAGAAAAAAGAACTAGTGGAAAAGTTTTTTATTTTCAATAAAATCTTGTACCAAAACCATTACTGGTTTTTATCGTAATGATTGTGGAAATACAGTACTGATTCAATACTGGATTAGTAAGTAACGGTCAATCAGTTGATCTACAATATTCATTACTGTAGAATCCGTAATAGTTATTGTAAAATCCGTACTGATTACTGGGAGAATGCTTACTGTAGTGGTACGTAATGGTACGTAATGGTTACTGTAAGAAAGACTAAAAGTTAAAAACGAGGAAAAATGTTATAACCATCACTGTTTTTCAGCTCTCAGTGTAGGTATATTGGAAGACGAGAAATTAATTATAATATAAATGGATTGCCTACTATATTTATAGACTTCAAGAGATCTCGAGGAAGACGTGTATGTGTTATTTCCAAATATTACCTGCTAATGTTTTGTAAAAAATACTCGTAATTTCACTTTATGCTGCAAGATTCTGTAATATTTGACATTTTTTCTTAATACAGGTACTTGTCAAAGACAGTTTCAGTATTTCAAAATCTTCATACCTGCAAGAAGCAGATTATTCAGATTGCACTCTCTTTGAGAACATGCGTCATAATTATGTTGGTATGTAATATTTGAATTTACAAATAAGGTATTATTAAAGAAAATATGCTTGTGTTCAGAAATAATTGCAGTTCTATTATTTACTTTGTAGATTTCGAGTTTCAAGAAGCTGTATATCCAATTAGGGTTTCTATACAGCAAGGACTGAATCCTGGTATAATGGAAATTTGGGCGCGAGATTCTGATCGGTGGTTTTTATTATGGACTGGAGGAAAACAGGCTGTTCGATATACAAGAAGACGACTGTTGTCCCCGGCTTTACGGGCCTGTGACTTTAAAACTAAAATGCTCAGATTAATATTGCCGTTTAACGCTGAGAGAATACAGATAGATGCTGTAGAGCTCATCGGAACATCAGAATTGATTCAACCTAAAGATCCTAAACAGAGTTTGACCGATCTATTAAAAGATATTAATTGCAGCTATCCTGACCGTAAGGATATGCACAATTTAACACCAGATTACAAAAATGCGGATCTGGATCAACTTATGGAAAAATTTTCCGACTATTGTATTATTCGTAAAAGGTATTGTAATCTTCGATAGTAAGTAATATTCTATTTTTATTAATATTAACGATCAATTAATTTCAACATTATTTTTAGCAATTTACATTTAAATAATGGAAAATTGAAAGGCATCACACCCTCTCCAAGTGAATTCAAGGAGCAACCACGTTGTGATTTTTCTATGCTTCCTGTAAAATATTCAACACATATTTAAAGAAGTTTCTTTCTTATAACAATATTTGTTATAATATCGTGAATTAAAATTTTATATTTTATCCTTGCAGGATGAGATGATACTAAAAATACTGGAATACTTAGATTTAAGGTCATTGTGCCTTATGAGTCAAACGAATAAATGCTTCAATCGATTAACACGAGATCCTTCGCTTTTTAAATATTTAAATATACAAGATTTGCGCATGTATGAGACGTCTACCGATGATACTATTGGTGATTGGCAGTGTAAAATTCTATCTAGCTTGGAATCCAGATGTGAGCACTTACGACAGTTGAATCTTGTATCATGCGACATTTCTAGTCCACGTTTCGTAACGTTTCTTAGAACTTGTGGCTCGAAGTTAACGTCCTTGCAATTAACTTCTTGCAAGTTTGACAACGATATCCTCTGTGATATTGGAAAAACATGCAAAGATTTGACAGGTACGATTATGATTTTAAAAAATAAAGTTAAATTATGTCTGACTAATCATATACATTTTTAGTGTTAAATTTGAGATGTAATATTGATGCATTTGATAAGGGCTACAATCTGGACGAAGGATTGTTGTATCTCCAACATCTAAAATTTTTAGAAGAATTAACCCTTATACATATACCTATAGAAGACGAAGAAACCCTTTGTACAGTACTGCATGGAAAGCACCGATTGCGTTATTTAAATTTGACATTTCCTCATCTATATATAAATAAAGTTTTAATAAACTTACGAGATAAAGCATTGTTTCCAAACTTGGAAACAATAAAATCGAGCTGTGCTATTGATTCGCGAAGGATTGATGCCCCAGGACTGCGATACTATAACCTTGGGAGAGCATTTGGACAAGGTATGCTAGATTTTCTTTTACATATTGTTGCATTCTTTATCGTAATTTATGTGTTTACTCTTGCAAGTATCATGAAATATATATACAGGGTGTCCTAAAACCACCGGAGGTCCTCTTAATGACAGATTCCTTAGAACATTTCCAGACGAAAATCCTAATACAAAAGTGTCGAGGCTATAATAGTTTTTAAATTAGAAGCGATTATTTTCCACAAATGATAGGGCTGAAATTTCGCGCGCTCAGGAACGGCGAAATGACAAGTGATATAAGTGCTCCTATGAATATCGTTCTTTTTATATCACTTGTCATTTCGCCGTTCCTGAGCGCGCGAAATTTCAGCCCTATCATTTATGGAAAAT